TTAGTCCACATAGATGGAGCGTCAATCTATGGGTCTCCCAGAGTCTGGGTGGCTCAGCAGGTTAAGCACCGGCCTTCAGGTCACGATCTGAGGTCCTGGGATGGATCCCCACGTAGGGCTCTTGCTCAGCTGGAAGCCTGCTTCTCCCTCTCACTCTACCCTTCTCCACCATCCCCCTCCAACCCCAGCCTCCACAAGTGGTCTCTCTCTCTTGTGCATGTGCTCTCAAATAAATAAATAAAATCTTTAAAAAAAAAAATAAATAAGGGATGGGTCTCAACCCTGGCTACATAAGAAAATCAAATATGGAGCTTTTAAAACTTTCAATGCCCACTTCTACACCATCTGCTCTGAATTACTGATTTAATTAATTTGTAAAGGGACTTAATCGCTGATGGTATAATGTGTCTCCTCCTGCCCCACTCCTCCTGCACTTGAGAACCACACTGCTTCACTACCACAGTGTTCTTGGGATGATGGATGATTATGGAAAGCATCAAGACACTTTCTCCAGGAAATGTTTAGATATGAATGCTTAATTTGATTACTTTCTTGAACACATGTTGAATTTCTCCATGAAATTTATTTTCAAGAAATGTACTCATGTGCTATGTTTTCTGTACCTTTCATATGTGAGAATATCTTTTTTATTCTATACAAGAAGGATAATTTAGGTAAATGTCACCTTCAGCGGACCAATATTTTCTAAAGTCTTATAGCTATTTCTCCCCTCTCCCCTCTGGCATTTATAGTTGCAGAAGGCAAATCTGATGCAAGCATTTTTAATTTAATTAATTTAGATCACTTGTTTATTCTTGAAACTTGATCCTTTCTAGCTGTCATCTCTCATTTTTTTATCTCTTAATTCCTTGATTTTCTGATAAGTTCTGAGAGAGCATCTCATATTTAACTAATTCAGCATCATACATTTTTAATTCCTTCACTGACTCCAACAAAAATTCAAACACTCCTACGATATTTAATTCTAAAATCCTTAAGTTTCCTTACCTGACATACTTAGCTTCTCAGTGCGGCCTTTTGATTTCTGAATCTTGTTTCATGGACTTCATATTCTTTCACTGCTACTGGTTATGTCAAGCAGTATAAAAAATACTTTCCTTAAGTTTTTAGGATACTAGTTACTTACCTATGTTCTAAAATATATTTTCCCAGGGCGCCTGGGTGGCTCAGTGGGTTAAGCCTCTGCCTTTGGCTCAGGTCATGATCTCAGGGTCCTGGGATCAAGCCCCACATCGGGCTCTCTGCTCAGCAGGGAGCCTGCTCCCCCACCTCCCCACCTACTTCTCTCTGCCTACTTGTGATCTCTCTCTCTCTGTAAATAAATAAATAAAATCTTATATATATATACATATACATATATATATATACATATACATATATGTATATATATATATATATATTCCCTTATTTTGTTTTGTTTTCCTTTCTCTATCTAAATGAAACAAGATGTGGTTAGACTCAGTGTCAACTGATGGGCATATAGATTTCCCAGCATGACATTCAGTGTCTGTGGGAAGCTAGCTGTAAGTTAGCTAGAAGGCAGGTCAATAAATGTTCCTTCTAGCCCAATTCTTAGTTTCAAAGAAGCAATCTTCATCATAGTGATTCTGTCTGTATTGAATGGCTGATCTGGGATATTATCCTTCCCAGGTGTCAATGCTCCAAACAAATTTAATAAATGTAAATTTATAACATCCAGTTAGAATTGTTTGTACAAGGGTTTCTTGTGTCTTTACCTCAACCTACATCATTTTTATCTATGGGATCAATATATCCATAATAGAATGTGATAATGTTCTTTTCTCCTCCCTCCCTTTCTTCAGTTGCCAGATTAACTACAAGATGCCCAGTTAAGTTTGAATTTCAGATAAACAAGAAATAATTTTTAAGCATAAGTCTGTCCCACAAGTATTTGGGATATACTTACACTAAAAACAATTATTTGTAGTCCTACTTGCTTTTTGGGACACAGTTATATTAAAATACTGTTTGTAGTTTTTGCAAAACTCAAGTTTAACTGGCCATCCTCTGTTCGTACTTGCTAAATTTGGCAAATCTCTCTTCTCTCAACTTGTTTTCTGGGAGCATCAGTCTCTAATTTGTATAGAAAGAGCTATATTCATGGTAGTGAGTATACATGAGGCCCAAAAGGCTCTTGACCACTTCAGTCACACAGTGCACCCATGCAGGAGAGAGGCGGCTGCTCAGGTTATTTGCTGGTACTGTTCTGGTGTTTCTGAGCCAAAGGACACATGGGGTGGGGATTTCTCTGCTCTCTTCAAGATGGCCAGCTTGCTGCATTACAAAGACCTGGCAGCAGTGGCTTTCAACTGCATTTTTCAATCCAATTCTGTCCATCTTGCAATTGGATATAAGAGCTCCTAGATTCTAAAAATTCAAGTTTATGGTGACTTTTGTTTGTTTTCATCTTTTTGTGTGACAAATCAGGAGAGGCGGACTCTGGGGATATTAGCCAGACATTACTGGAAGTCAGACTCCTGGCACTATTTACTCTGTGTGTGTGTGTGTGTGTGTGTGTGTGTTTGCATGCTTGGACTACAACTTCAGAAGCATTCTTAGAGACCCAAAACAAAGGAGGCAATTATTTTTGGCTTAATGAACCCTGCCAAAATGGAATCAACTGTGATATCTAAATCTATCTCAACAGCAAAGCAGCCTTTTCTGGAAAAGGCTATAGTGATGCTGGATACAAGATTATGTTGCCTAAAGTATGTGTTCCAGGTGGTGCTCTGGTTCACTTTTTGAGTTTTTAACCTGTTGTTTGTCCAAAGACATGTGTTGTCAATAATTCAGGGCTATTTGGCCCAGGATTATTTTTGTCCTAATAAGGAATAGTCTGTCAACCGTCTGCTCATCTTCTGCCTGTCTTCTAGCTACCCAATATGACACAGGCATTTTTTACAAGAATTTCTTCTTCCAGCTACTCTTGGGAGATAGTCAGTCCTGCCACCCCTGACATAACTTAAAATCATAACCGAGATGAAGGACCATCTGCCACTGGCTGTTTGGCAACCTTAAGAGTCCAGGAAAACAGGCAAGTATAAGAAAACACCTTCAGAATCGCTCTTGACACTCTTAGTTCAACCAATTCCCAGCTACCAGGTCTTCTTAAATAAGTCATGCATTTAGCTCAGTTCAAAGCCCTACAGTGGTTACAGACCTTGCTTTTGTGTAAAAGTGCAACGCCTCGCGCTGTGTTTCATCCTTCCCAAGCACAGGCCAACCCACCTGCTTTGCCCATTTGATTTCTTCCAGCTGGCTTCCCATTTGTCTTGATTTACTCTCAAGGTTTTTGCCTTACCGGCTTATAGAGGAAGCCTACTCATTCATTTCATGAAGATTATCTTTTTATGGCTGTGTTATTTGGTCAGCAGAACACAAATTTGGTGATAATTATATTTATTTGTAGAACAAGATGAAGGGTTTCTTTTGTAAGGAATAATATACTCCTTAAGAGGCAAAGACTGACGAGAATTCACACGGAAAGAATCCTTTCTTCTGCTGCCCTTTGTCAGAGGTGTTGAGGTGAGCTGAGGTGATGCCACATAACCCTCAACCCTGCTAGCCAATGGGGACAATGCTGTTTGGAGAAAGCAGACCTCTTGAGGAGAACTGTTAAACAGAAGGGTGCTCATTTGAGATCCAGAAATGGAGAGATTAAAGACAGTTTCGACTTGGATCCTGTACAGGCTGAGTGTTCTCCAGTCCTGGGCCTACTTGCTGCTGAGGAAGATGGGGAAGCTGGAAAAGTCGTGACATGAGTGACTTACCTCCATGAACTTCACTTTTCTTGATCTGTAAAATGAAGCCAGTAATTCTGTATGAGCTGAGGTAAGAGCTAAGCTGCTGAAAGAAAGCAATCACAAAATATGTTTTTAAAAAGACAATGGCTTAAATTAGAGGTTTGTTTCTCTGCTTCTCCTATAAATGGTTTAAGGTGGGCAGTGTTGCTCCTCCAAGCCACTGAGGATCATGGATACCTTCCATCTTGCTGCTGGGTCATTCCGTAGGACATGGTCCACACTCACAAGGACAAAGCTGAGTCTCAGTAAATCCAGGCAGCCTACATGGAGGGAGGAAGGACAAACTCCAGGATGAGCAATTTTCTTTAAGAAAGTCTGACTGGCAGAGGTTTGGCTCTTTCCCTCACAGCCCTTTGGTCATGTGACTAAGTCCTCAGCAATGGGATGTGAGCATAAAAGCATGAAACGCTGAGAAATGTAATCTCAAACAGGGAGGTTATGTGCCCAAGGAAAAGGTAAGGATGGGATTTTGAAGGCAAATAGCTACCAACCAGAAACAGCAATCTCAAGACCTAAATGTAAAGATTAAATATTTAAGAAAATATTTTTAGAGTGTTAAGCACATGCTAAGAACCTACTGCTCAACTAATAAAAATTATTAGTAAAAAAGGGGGGATTAGAAATGATGTACAGCTCTATATACAGACATGGGGGGAATGGAAATAACTTGAGTCAGATCTGGGAACACCTGAAAGTTAAATAGATCATTTCTGGACGGTTTAATTAACTGAGTGTCACAAAGGAGATAGGGTATGGACGAATTCTCCTTAGGGACCTCTCTAAAACTATGACAGGATGAGGAGTCATTCCTTTTTTTGGTTATAGGGACTATGACTATACTTTCTTTCTAACACAGTTCTTTCTTTGGAAATTATAGGTGGTAGATAATTGCTAGCTTATTAGTTGCTCTTCAACCATATTGAGCATTGAGAGTCCCAAAGTAATAAGCTTAAGAGCAGAATAGACTGACTGGGGTCTTGTCAGTTGAACTGTTCATGTATGGATTTCTGAGTAAGGCATTCTCAAAATTACTGTGATTTCTCTTTATGTACCTTTGGAACAATCCCAGGGTTTGGATGGTATGTGCGCGATGATACACATGAAATATTTGACTCACACAAAATCCATTTAAAAACTTGTAAAAAAGTATCACTGTGCCTTAGACAGAAAAAGTGAACATTTGGGGAATTATTTAACAAAAACAAAGTTTTGTGGGAAATAAAATCCACAACAGACTTCTATTTGTGTAACTGTGCTTAGTTAAAAACTCACTTCCATTTGTTACAATTTACAAAATTTTAATTCCGACTTTAACAAAATATATATACATATTTATATGACCATAAGGATACACACTGAAAGTTAAACACTGGTTATTTCTGGTAGCTGTAGATATGGAGGGTTGTTATGTTCTTTATCTTTCTCCAGTATTTTCTTTCCTTAAGAGAGAGATAATTAAAGAGTAAGACTTGAGAATACCTTTTAATAGATCTTCTGACTACAAATGTTCCAAAAGGCTTTTCACATTGTCTGTAAACAAAACAATCCAGTATCCTCATTAGGTGTCCAGGGGAAGTGGGTACATTGTTGGTTGTTTTTTCAAGGGTAAAAGTAAAGCGTAGCATTATTATGTATGGTCCCCCAAGACAGTGGTGGGAATAGGACTGGAACCTGTAACAAGTCCATTCAAGGCCCCAAAACTATGAAATGTATTGTTCACAGAAACATTATGAGTGCAAAAGACCGACATTTCCTCTGCCATTGTTTCTTTCCTTAATGCTCCCTGGTGCCCCATACTCTTCCAGGAAACAGCTCCCCACTCCTTCCGCTTAATGAACATCAAAAGGCTTAGAAGCCATTTATGTATCCATATGTGTTCATTGTGGAGACTGAAACCAAATCAAGATTCAAGTTCTCAAGTAGGAATTCCAGTGAGTGCAGCAAAGCTACTCCGGGATATGAAGGGAGGCTAATTTTCCATACCCAGCAAAGTCTAAAGTAATCAATATCCAATAAGAGATCTGTCTTTTAAATTTGACTCTCTATGTCCAGAATAGAGTTCATTGTCTTCATGGTTTCTTCAAACATCCTCATACTACAGATTGAAATCTCTGCCAGTGAATTTTGAATACAAATAATTGAGTCGGGGTTGCAGAGGGGAGTAGAAATTTGTAGTTGTAAATGAAAAGTACTCCTTTAGGAAGTCTTACTACAGAATAGTGTCACTGTTCTGGCCTAGAGTTCTGGTCTCACCCCTTACTTTAGCACATTTGCTCTTTCCCAAACATTATCTTCTCATTTTTCATAAACAGTAACAAAAGTTAATTTTGTTAATACAAAATTATAAAAGTGGTCATATTGATTCACAAGAAGAGAATGTATTGTATTCCTCCTATATATATAACTTTAATTTACCTATAATGGAGGGACAGGGGAGTGAAGTACAGAAGATACTAATCAACCTACAGCTTACGCTGCCTTTTTGAGAAGTTTTTCTTTTATTTGCATTGAAAACCTTAGGTAAAACCTGTTTAATTTCCTTTTTCTGTTACTTGTCTACAACTCAGCAATGTGGTAAGACAGGGATACAATGTATGACTGAAATGTCTTCCAGAAAGGTGAATGCATATTCCCACTCATCAGTTGTGTGGGGCCCATTTGAACCAATATTTATGGGAGTTCTTTGGTCACAAAAAGTTTACTGTCAACAATGAAATCAAATCTGGCTTAAGAAATCTAAATACTTTCAGTCAAAATAAATTTAGTAAACTTATACCTTGTTTTTCAAAGTGTACTTCATGAAACACCTGTTCTGAGGCATTACTAATAGGTATTATACAAAAACTAGCCAATCTCAATTTTTCAGAAGTACACACACACACACACACACACACACACACACACTTGTGAACATACTCTAGCCAATGAAACATAAATCCAAGAAAAGAGCTATGGAAATAAGAAATAAGGTTGAGCAAGGAATCAGGAAAATTAATACCTGCCCAAATAATATTTAAAGGAACAATGTGCAGCTAAATGCCTGAGTTAAAGGCTTCTTTAAAAAGAGGAATACATGGCAGGGGGTGGCGGGGAGGGCACCTGGCTGGCTCAGTTGGAAGAGTTTGCAACTCTTCATCTTGGGGTCAAGAGTTCAAGCCCTGTGTTTGGTGTAGAGATTACTTAAATAAATAAAATTTCTTTGGGGCACCTGGGTGTTCAGTGGGTTAAAGCCTCTGCCTTCAGCTCAGGTCATGATCTCAGGGTCCTGGGATCAAACCCCACATCGGGCTCTCTGCTCAGCGGGGAGCCTGCTTCCTCCTCTCTCTGCCTGCCTCTATGCCTACTTGTGATTTCCATCTGTCAAATAAATAAAATCTTAAAAATAAATAAATAAATAAATAAATAAATAAATAAATAAAATTTCTTTAAAAAAAGGAGGGGTTCATGGGAACTTGTTTCAGAAACCGGAACAATTAGCCTCTGCCTACCTTCCTGGCATCTTTAGATTTAAGTATGAAAGTAATACCGTGGTACATCTTACCTGAAGAAAAATGAGACCAGATATCTGGGAGCAAGACCCAAAGTAGGAAGTGAGAGGTTGTTGCTAGGTCAATTCTATGAATTATAAGTATGCAAAAATCATGCAGATTAAATTTGGACATTCGGAAGTCAAACTTTGTACTATTTATAACACAAAGAATTAGTCATTCATTTTCTAGAAGGGGATTTTTACTTTGTAGTATGGAAAGAATATTTTCTTCCTGGGGGAAATGCAGATTGTAAAGCACCGCTGTGCATTTTCTGGACCATGCTTCTCTTAAAGGCAACAGTTCCAGAGAATGACAAGAACAGTACATGTCATGATCTTGGCAGCCTAAGAAAAATTCTGGTTGAAGCTTATCACACTTCTCCATTCTCCAAAATACACAAACATCTCTGTAGGAATTATACAGAATTATTGTCTTTGGATGGTGACTTGGTTTATTCTTTTTTATACTGTTCCATAGTTAGCAAATTTAGGTTCATGGTTATTTATTTTTTACTTGTGGAAAGGTGAAAATGTCTTACTTTGTATTTTAATAGGGAATCATGAAATACTTACACATATATTTTGAAAAATACAATTTTCTACCAACATATCAGGGAAAGAGACAAGAAAGTTGCACACCAGAAATGTTTGAATTGAAACATTTGAAATGTAGACCGAAGAAATTTAGCTAACTTTCTAGTTGTAGCTTTGATAAGACAGGCTTAGACATGGTTAAGACATGTTAAGATACCTTAAGAAATGTGGATATTAAAAAATAAACTTTTGTTTTCTATTTTGTATTACCTAGGGTTTTGTGCTTAATGTCCTGTCTCTATAGCCATGCCATTTAGGTAGAAGTTGTTCACTCCAGAATTTGTGTGATCAAATCTATTATCTCTCTGACTATTTAGTTTTCCCTAATTTCAAATATCTATCTTTTTCTCTCAAAACATGTGTAAGGGCGCTGTGAGTGCCCTGAAATCCTTTTGGTGTGTGTCATGGAAAAAAGAAAGGAAGGAAGGAAGGAAGGAAGGAAGGAAGGAAGGAAGGAAGGAAGGAAGGAGAAAAACAAAACTTATTGCAAATGATGCTAAAAATTCATAATGTTGAATAGCCTCCTATGATCTACACATGCTTGAGAGAAGATAGGAAACCAATCACTTTCTCTGTGGCAAACACCTTAACACACAAGGAGCTTTACAAGTTTAATTGAAATAAATTTCAAAACAGGCAATTATAAATAATATACATACCCTAAACCTTCAAAATCTCAAATCTTTAAAATGCCTTGCCTTTCCTGCAGCATGAAAAAAGGGAGTTTGGGAGATATGCCTCCAACCCTGAGATGTTGATGGGATGTACCTTTTCCAGACCTGCAGGAACCCTATCTCTGGCATGCCCTTGGTTATATAGACTTCCCTTCATTCCTTTGAAATTATGACTCCACACAGACCTCTATAAACTTCATTCGGAGGAAAAGAAACATCTTTCTATATAGCCAATTGTTTATCTCTTCACTCTAAGCCTGCCTTCTCTCTCCTTATCTTACAGAAGTATCACATCATACATTGAATATCTATGAAAACACTGTGCACCAGGCTTGGGCCTCCCATTACATACTCTCTGTTTCCCATGTTGACATCTTTTTTTTTTTTTAATTTATTTGAGAGAGAGAGAGAGAGATCATAAGTAGGCAGACAGGCAGGCAGAGAGAGAGGGGGAAGCAGGCTCCCCGCCGAGCAGAGAGCCCGATGCGGGGCTCGATTCCAGGACCCTGAAATCATGACCATAGCTGAAGGCAGAGTCTTAACCCACGGAGCCACCCAGGTGCCCCTCCCACGTTCACATCTTAAATTCTCTTATTTAGCCCTCCTCTCCTCAGAGTACTGCCTTTGGTTTCTATGTCTTCAGAAAAAGTTCTCTCTTTCATTCAACCACAAAAACCTTCCTGGGTAAAATGGAAGTGACAGAAAATATGGCACAGTAGAAACAGCATGAGCTCTGCGTCAGAGAAACTTAAACTTAGGTTGAAGCCCTGGCTCCTCTGATTACCAGCCGTGTGAACTTACATGAGTTGCTCTCTCTCCACCTCAATGTCCCCACCGACTGTATATGGTAGTATGCCTGCTTCCCAGAGCAGTTAGAGGCATTCAATGAAATATAATATAAATGGTCTTACACAGTGCCTAGAACAGGGGAAACAATAAACAGTAGTAATTCAGATGCTCAAAGATGGTTTCCACTTCAATTCATACGGGCAGCTTCAGAATGGTCAGGTGACACTTTGTGCTCTCTTATGGGCACGTCCATTATGTAGACAGCCTACTCAACCAGTTCTCACTGTAATAATGAATAAATGAAATACAGTCTACACTCGGGAGGGCTTCTCTTCATTGTTGTAAATGTTCTTTAAGAAAGCCCTCTCTTTTCCTCTTTTTCTGGTCTATAAGTTAATTACAGTTTCATATCCGCCCCATCCTTTTGTTTGATCTTCTCTGCAGTTTCTTAAATTGAAAAATACCAATACATTTAGATTAGCCATAACGAAATCATGGTTTTCCTTCCTTTTGCCGTTTCCTTCCTTTTCATCTTCTTGTAATTTAAACTTTCCACATCCTAGAGTGAGAAATATGAGTTCCCAGTTTTTCCATAGCCTCAATAAATGGGCTGGAAAATGTTTAACGGACCGCTTGAACCAATGAATTTTAATGGTTTCCCCACATCCTCCTGAAGATTTTCATATTTAGCTCTTCACTTTGTCTGGTGTCTTTAACATCCCAGTCTCATCATAATGAATTGAGCCTGTGGTATCAATACTAGAAGAGCTATTTCTTAGTTTAAATGGTACCAATGATACTTTGCAACTAAAATTAATTTTGCATTATTATGTTCACACAGTTCTTTCTCATTCTCTCTTTGTTTCTTGTTTGCTTGTTCTGAAATAAAAACTCCTACAATATTTCTTCTCTTTACTCTTAGTGGAACCCAGATGTGGTCTAGGATCTAGGATCTAGAATTAATCCTTAACTTGCCCAGGGACCCAACAGGTACCCAGTTTTAAAGATGTTTTTCTTATACTTAAATCTTACTCAAAACCTTACTCAAACGCGTCTAGAGAAGTTGCACTCCAGGCATGTCAGATTTTTACCAAAGTGTTAAAGCTTTGTTTTTTATCATGTAAGGGATATGACTTGTGAGTTTTCCTTTATCAGTGAGAGAAAGTTGACCTTTTGTGCTAATTCCACTTCCTGGTGACTCAGCCTTCTTTCTCTTGGGCTTGTCTCTTTGCTCTGTGCCAATAACTTCTCACATTCCACTGATTCAGCACCTACCTCTCCTTATCCAAGTTCTTCTTTAAACCCATTATACCAGCACCATCCTTGATGCAGTGACTTCTTTGTGTGGCCAGTGACTTAATTTTTCAAAGCCTCAGTTTCCGCTTAGGAAAAAGTAAAATGAAAATAAAAACAACATACCATTGATCATCTTACTAGAGCATATTAAGTGGGAAAAAAATACAAATGAGAGTTACTAGCAATGACAATCTTCTCCAGGAAGGAGGTAATGGTAAAATAATGAGAATTCATTTTATCACAAAAACTCAACATCCGGGCAGTGACAAATAGGGAGTAATTTCTTTTGCCCTATCATTTTCCTCCAGGAATTTGGCCTGTAGTTATCCAGGTTCCATTTTTCTTTATGTATTTCCAGTTCAAAATAGTGGAATGGAAAGAAGTAAAAAAATTTCCCAAGACTTTTCAAAACTTCCGTATGGATTTAAAGTGGATAGGGGAAAGCAGTACCAGGTACTGATTAATTTCCTCAGCAAATACTTACCAAGTGCCATTTCGGTGTTCTGTCACTGCTTCTGTATGTGGAAAGGAAGTATTCCTCTGAGACATTCTCACTTCATAGAGGTCAGCCGTTCAAGGAGCAGAGCACATACATATGTTTCCACAACTACAGAAAAAGGATACACTAAGGATCCTACATCTCCATTCACTGATTTCAAGAGCTGAGCTAAGCACTTTTATAAATAGCAAAAAGAAATAATTAGACTATGATTCCAGTAAGAGTGTGCACTGATTTCACACTCTCCTTTATTATGGTGTATATTTAATAAGGTCTGCCTTTGAATTAGGTTTGATTAGGTCTGATCATTTTTCATGCATTTTACTTCCTTGTAGCCTAGAATTACCAGTTGTTGTTTTTTTTCTTTTCATGATTATAAAGTCTTTGAATAAAATATCTAGTATGCCAGGCTTTTAGAGGAATAACTGTGTGTCTACACTATCAACTTTTTTTTTTTTAAATAGGAAGATATTTAGAATTAAGGAATTTTCGTGAGGTCTAATTAGGTCTCTTTGCAATCCTAACAGAAGAATGGTAGAATATAAATCATTAGATGAGATCATTATTTTCATCTAGAACCCTGTATCTCTAAAAAATGAGTGTTCCCCAAAGTGAGCACCATTTTTTTTAAACTGAGTGTGTTTTCTAGCACTTAACACTTTATACTTTACCTAACATGATTGAGATTCATTTGACCTAGGAATCATGGTATTTATCCCTTACATGTATTTTTACCTCTTCTAACCTTAAAGTACAATTAAATTAATAGAATATATGTGCAAAATTTTACAGTTGCCAATTATAATACTATTTTGAAAATATAAATAATTAATACTTCGGGAAGATGGGATGGTTTCATGAGAAAAGTACTGGATGAAGTTAGGAGACCTGAATTCTACTTTCAGTTTTGCCACTCACGGGTGGTATGAACTTGGAAAAATCATTCAATTTCATTTAAATTTGGTTCTTTATCATAAAGCAGTAAGGCTGGATCCTTTCAGTGCTAAGATTCTAAAATAATAAAGATAGGCTCCTTTCCTTTTCCAAGTCAAACAAACTATCTAAATATGCTGAGCGATGAAGGAGCGCCTGGGTGGCTTAGTTGGTTAAGTGTCTGACTCTTGGTTTCTGCTCAGGTCATGACCTGAGGGTTCTGGGCTCAAGCCCTGTGTCAGGCTCTGCACTCAGGGCGAAGTGTGCTTGGGATCCTCTCTCTCCCTCTCCCTCTGCTCCTTCCCATCATGCTGTCTCTCAAATAAATAAATGAATCTTTAAGATAGATAGATAGGCAGATAGATAGTGATGGAACTTTTATGAGGGAGCTAAAGAAGTACTTTCCATTTTTAAATACTATTTCTGTTTGAGATAGGAAAATACATAAAAACAATAATCTCACTGCTCAGATACTTACTTGGAAAAATACATGTACAGGGTTTAAAAAGAAATCCAGACACTGGAGGCAACAAATAAAATGAAAAGTCAAAGTCTTCAGCTCCATCCCCAATGGCCCCAAACCATTTCCTAGGAGATAAATACTGCTAATATTTTGCTCTGACTCCTTTAAAAATCATGGCATACTAGAAGATACATGTATGTGTTGCTTAAGTATTTCCTAATATACCACAAAATTGCATGCGTATCATATTTTTAAAAGATAAATCCATGGTTTAGGGAATATTTTGTAACATTAGGGAGTGGCTAAAGAACTTTCAAATTTATTTTAAAAGCCTAAGCATGATTGTAAATAGTGTTTTCCTGTCCTACATACAAAGTAAGAACAAAGGCATGTTTGGAAACAGGCCCATGGGCATTCTCTGATAAACTTCCCTCTTAAATAGGTATAGCACTGTGGGATTGGGATTGTTTTTAAGCAGGTTTGAATATTATGCTCAATTTATTAATCCAAATAAAATAAGTTGGGATGTGATTATTTTTCTTCAGCAAGTAATTATTTTCCTCAAAGTTTAAGCGTAACACAAAAAGGACAACCCAAATAGCCAAAACTGGGATGAGTTTAGTGGCCTCAACACACCACCACCAATTTAATAATTCAGACAGTTCTTTTGGAAAGATCTCAAATGTTCTCTGAAAAGGCAGTGCAGTTTCTGAAAGCCCCACAGGAAGACCTTAATGGTAACAATGGAACCATCTGTTCTGGAAAACAGACTCTGAAATGAATTATAGTTGGGATGAGAAGATCAAGCCCTATTCTATATTTGTGGGTAACCCAAGATATATATCACAGCTGTTAGGGGCAAATTTATAGGGCTCCTGGAGGTTATATTTGTGATTTATAATGGCAAGATGAGCTCAATATTTAACCTACAGGAAGTTAGATTTACCAACATTTAGCAACTGCAGGATTCATATTCTCAAAGCAGAAAGTATATGAAATCTTCCTTAATGTAAGGGAGCAATGAGAGTGTACCAGGAAAGATAGCAGCAGGAGTCATTTCTTTAGTCAAACCAGCATCAGAACTCAAGGATAAGAGAAGTCATCTTTAAACACAAAGAAAACCTCTGCTTGTGTTTATTAAAGACCACTGAAAAAAAGGAGCCTTCTACACCCCTATATTCATAAATATATGGCAGCATGTCTTAGGAATGCAGACTCTGGGGCTAGGCCTCCTCTGTTCAAACCCCAACTCTGAACCTCAATTGCTATACTATGTAGGTCAAGTCTTTAGTCTGGCTGGCCCCACCTAAGAAATGGGCATGGATAAAGATAGTACCTAGCTCAAAGATTGAGTATGTTAATACATCTAAAATACCTGTCTGGCACACAGTAAGAGCTATGTGACACTTGTTATTTTCATTCTTATTCAGTGGGTCTATACCAAGACCATGGTAATGGTCCAAGTAAAAACATCAAAAATATCTTTAAGTTGAAAAATAATTCATCCAAAACAACGTGACTGTTAATACACAAAAATGAAAATTTTAGGAGTGCCTGGGTGGCTTAGCCATTGGGTGTTTGCTTTTGGATCAGGTCATAGTCCCGGGGTCCTGGGATCAAGCCCCGCATCAGGCTCCCTGCTTGGCGGGAAGCCTACTTCTCCCTCTCCCATTCCCCCTGCTTATGATCCCTCTCTAGCTGTGTTTCTCTCTACCAAGTGAATAAATTAAATCTTTAAAAAAAAGGAAAGAAAATTTTAGGGGAAGGGAAGGAAAAACAAAATAAGACAAAAACAAAGAGAGAGGCAAATCATACAGAATTCTTAACTATAGGAAACAAACCAAGGGTTGCTGGGGGCGGGTGATGGGGTATTTGGGTGATGAGCATTAAGGAGAGCACTTGTAAAAACCACTGGGTGTTATAGGCAACTGACGAATCACTAAATTCTACCTCTGAAACTAATAATATACTATATGTTAATTAAATGAATTTAAATTTACAAATTTAAAAAAATTTAAAGTTAAAAAGACTAGTATTCAGCCTTTAAATTATGAATGTATGTGCAGACTATTTAAATATATCGTATAAAGGCTTATGTTTGTGAGCTTAAAAATCCACCAGCTGTCAATCCATTTTTGCATAGAGTGTGCATACAAATAAAAGTGAAATTGGTGAATTTATTTTAAAAATACATTTTACAGCTTTTCCTAAGAATCCCTTAATGAAAAGGCAGCAAAAAGATAATGAGGAAGAACCAAACAGATGTTGGTTTCCCCTAAAATTTGCCAGACTTTTATAGCATCATTAGGGTAGATTTCCATTTAGGTCTCCACAAGTTTAAAAATAAGTGGGACATTTGGATCTAGAAGAGAGCAGAGATTAAAGGCTTGGAAACCAAAACCTAAGAGGAAGGGATCGCAGAAATGATGTTGGTTGGCCAAAAAGAAGAGAGGGCTGTGGGTGACTTCACTGCAATCTTATTGTATATAATATGCCTTCTAAAGGGGTCAGGAAGCAGATGTTGTTCTCCAGTGAAAATGGCATGCAATGGAATGGGAGACTTTGGGTCTGACTTGATAAAAGTTTTTTTAAAGAGTTAACAAAAATTTTCTTGTAAAGAGTTGTCAGACAACTAAATCTTTGTTCATTCAACCAATAATTATTCCATTCCTTAGCTCCTGTATTAAGTGCTAAGGATTAATTGATAGGTAATAATTCAGAGGTAGACATAGATATAGCTGTATTGACTGGGAATTTCCCTTTGTGCCAGAATTGTCCTTGCAGTAGACTTGGTGAACTATGTGTACTAGAGAATGACAAAAAATGGACATCCAGGTGGGGAAGGCGGCAGTGGCATGTTCCGAATTCCCTCCTCTGAGACACAAGAAGGCGTGAGTTTCCCAAGAATACCATAGAAAGAATGCACATAGTGGGGAGTACTTTCATTCATACCCCACCCAAAAGGGCTGACCTGAGGGCAAGAAAAACCAACAGCAAGATCCCCTGTGATGTATTACAGGAACTGAGACAGCTTTGGGCCAAAAGGGGGAAAGAATGGATGACCCCGCCTACTCTGAAGGCAGACTTCCTTTGGAGACCCACCTGCCTAAGAACTCATCCAGGAGGACTTTCTCAGGAGCCTCATGAGCGAGCCACCATCTAAATGTCTGTCTCCCAGAGGCACTAATAACCGGTCTCAGATTAGCCAGAGAAACCACAGGAACCGAAAAGCAACAACAACAACAAAATGACACAGAGGCCAGTGTAGTGCTATTATCAGAATGTGCAAGTGCTCCTGTGAGACAAAACAGTCGTCTATTATCTACCAGTCAAGAGAGTATTAATGCGCACCATTATGCTTCTCCTTGCTAAGAAATGCTCTGAAGGCTATATACATTTTGCATTATTTCTTCCTCTGAGTTTGTCAGAAAAAATTAAATCATAATTCACATAACTGTGTCTTTATGCATATTTGTTGTATTCTAACAATTGGAAACTTGGTAATCTACTATCACTCAGCATATCTGCGTAACCAAATACTGTGTTCTCTTTCACAGCAGTTCTCACGTTCCCACCAACACACACACTTACTGGTAATTACGGTGGATGCTGCAATGGGTCATCCAGCGTTCTGGGAATTTAACCTCAGACACAGTAAGCAATAAACTAATGATTAATGGAAGATATATTTTTGGCTATCAAAAATTAATATGATACAAATTTCTAAAATGAAAGCTCATCTCCATCCTTGCCTCAATTCTATTATTATTAGAATTATTTCATCTAAATTAGGAGGGTAGCAAAGAAGTTGATTGTCGCTACTGCTCTCCACCACTAGCTCCCAGCTAAGGGGAAATGTGGTCAAATTACCATTAGACTAAATGGCAGCAGAAACTAACAGATACTTGCCGGCCACTACCATATCTCCTTCTCTCCAATTTCCCCAGCTGTGTCTGGGAATCAACTGATAGTTTATGAGAATCAGAAGAAGTGGAAAAGCACCGCACACTAACTCATGAAAGGTGCCTGGAAAAAGTTACTCCTTTCATTATGTAACAAGATGTAGAAATTCCTGAAATAAGCCTACTTCGTTTAATTCGAAAACCTCTTTTTGGAATAAGTTGTCTGTTTCATTATATAGCCAATTGGTATCGGTGAAAAATGTGATTCTGATCAACTGCTCTGGCTTGGATAACTCTTAAAGAAATTTTCTGAAATGGCATCCAGGCACAGTTTCCCATGTGACTCTCACTGGTGAAGGAACATGCTAATATGTAATTTAGAGGTGGCTGGAAAAATTTTTTGAAAACTTAGTAGAAGGCCACCTGAGTGGCTCAGTTGATTAAGCGTCTACCTTCAATTCAGGTCATGACCCCAGTCTGCTTCACCTTCTGCTTGCCATTCTCCCTACCTGTATTCTCTCTCTCTCTCGCTCTGTCAAATAATTTGTTTTAATCTTATTAAAAACAACCTTTAAAAAAGCTTAATTGAGTGCTCGCTTCGGCAGCACATATACTAAAAAAAAAAAAAAAAGCTTAATTGAGGGAGTTTTTAGGTTGGATTCCCCCCAAAATCAGACCCTGAGACAATGATTTGAGTTGACAGTTTGAGAAGTGAACTTAAGCAGCCCTGGTAGGAGAAAAGGAAGGAAGGAAGCCAGCAGAGGATATATTCAGAGATGTTTACTGCTCTTAGGCAAGTAGAGCTTAATCCCTCCGGGTCAAATACACCTCAGAGTTATCCCACCTGAGACAGGAGGAAGCTGGAATATTTCTCTACCAACTCCTATCACTGGTTTGTTAAGGGATGCTTCCAGGGATTTTCACTACCCAGATCTTCCACGCTTCCTCCCACATCTGTAGGAGCTGAAGGAGCTCTTCCAGGCAGAAAATTCATGGGTAGAGAGGTGCAAAAGTCTGCAGTGAGAAGCAAACTCTATGGGCACTGAGGGAAAAAACAGCAGGGCACCAACAGCATCTGCTAAAGAAGTCATGCAATCCCTGTCTTATAACCTTTGGAAAGAAACAGAAAGATTACTTAAAATCCATTCCTTTTGGGAAATGGAAAGGTGATTGTCAGATTTATCATAATATTAAGATTCCAAGCCTCTAGAAAAATTCTAATGCCATTGATAAATAAAAGCAAACCATTATGTGGTTACAAGGAAAGAATTTTATGAAGACCTTATGTTTAACATTGAATATTTATAAAACTTATATTGTAAATAATTAATATTGTTAACATCCATACTGCCCAAAACCAACTATAGATCCAGTGCAATCCCTATCAAAATTCAAATGGCATTTTTTACAGAAATAGGAAAAAAAAATCCTAAACTTCACGTGGAACCACAAAAGGCCATGAATAGGTATAGCAATCCTGAGAAAGAACACGAAACTGGAGGCATCACACTTCGTGATTTCATACTATACTACAAAGCAATAGCAATTAAAATAGTATGGTACTAGCATAAAACCGAACAGAGACTAAAGGGTCAGAATCAAGAGCCCAGAAATAAACCCATGCACTTTCCAGCCGACAAGGGAGCCAAGAATACTCATTGGAGAAAAGATAGTCTCAATAAATGGTGCTGGGAAAATTGGATATTCACAAGCAAAATAATGAAACTAGAACCCCATTTTATACCATTTACAAAAATTACCTCAAAAGTGGATTAAAGGCCTAGCAGTAAATCCTAAAACCATAAAACTCCTAAAAGGAAACATAGGAGAAAACTTCTTGACAGTGGTCTTGGCAATGATTTTTTAGATAGGACACCTGAAACACAAGCAACAAAAGCAAAAATAAGTAAGTGGGGCTACATCAAGCTAAAAAACTTCTGCATAGCAGAAAGAAATGATTATTAAAATGCAGAGGCAACCTAAAGAATTGGAGAAAGTATTTGCAAACCACATATCTGATAAATAGTATCCAAATTATATAAAGGATGCACATAACTCAATAGCAAAGAACAAATACTCTAATTTAAAAATGGGCAAAGGACCTGGATAGACATTTCCCCAAAGAATATATTCAAATGGACAATAGGTACATGAAAAGATACTCAACATCATCAAGGAAATACAAATCAAAACCACAATGAGAAGGGCACCTGGGTGGCTCAGTGGGTTGAGCCTCTGCCTTCAGCTCAGGTCATGATCTCAGGGTCCTGGGATCCTGCCCCACATCCGGCTTTCTGCTCAGCAGGGAGCCTGCTTCCCTCCCACCTCTGCCTGGTGCTCTACCTACTTATGATATCTCTCTCTGTCAAATAAATAAGTAAAATCTTTAAAAAAGAAGAAGAAAAAGAAAACCACAATGAGATACAACCTCACAAACGTTAAAATGGCTATTACCAAAAAGAACAAGAGATAACAAATGCCAGTGAGGATACAGGGAAAAGAGGGATTTTTTAAAAAGGGGGATACCTTGTACACTGTTGGTAGGAAAGTAAACTAGTGCAGTCACTATGAAAAACAGTATGGAGGGTCCTTAAAAAATTAAAAATAAAACTACCATACGATCCAGCAATTCCACTTTTGGGTATGTATCTGAAGGAAATAAAATCATTATCTCAAGTACCCTCATGTGTATTCAGCATTGTATGTAATAGTCAAGAGAGGGAAACAACTGAAGTGTTCATCAATGGACGAATGGATAAAGAAAATGTTACATGGACAATTATTCAAACATAAAAAAAGAAGGAAATTCTGCCATTTGTGACAACATGGATGAAACTTTGAGAACATTATGTTAAATGAAATAAGTCAGAGTGAGGAAAACAAATATTGTATGATCCCACTTTTATGTGTAATCTTAAAAAAACCAAAGTCATAGAAACGGAGAACAAATTGGTGCTTGTCATATGTGCGAGGGGTTAAAGAGTACAGAAAATGGATGAAGGTGGTCAAAAGGTATGAACTTCCAGATATGAGTAAGTTGTGGGGATGTAATGTACACCACGGGGACCACAGTTAACATCACTGTCTGGTATATTTGAAAGTTATTAAAAGAATAGATCTTAAATGTCCTCATCAGAAGAAAAAGCTATAACTGTGTGAGGTGATACATGTTAACTAACCTTATGATGGTAATAATTTTGAAATATATACAAATATCATAATGTATACCTAAAACTTATATAATGGTATATGTCAACAATATCTCCAGATAGCTGGGGGAAAAAAGGGTATTGTAAATAATGATTATTTACAAAAAATATGCACTTAAAATTGAAGGTAGAAAGTGTTCATTTTTAAAATGTTATGATAAAGCAAGCTGGAATCTATGTCATGGACAATTAAATGTATTTGTTTAAAAGCTCAACATAAACGTTAATTTATTTGCCCATCGTTTTCATAATTCAGTCTTAGAAATCAGTCTCAGTAATATGTTTGGAATTCTCTTTGTGACATATATATATATACATTTTTCTTTTCTTGCCTCAAGTGTAAAGCCCCCAGTTTTCCTAGCTTTGTAAATGATGGCATCAAGTTCACCCCAAATACAGTATGTGCTGTTCTTAACTCTCACTGTGGCTTCCTCTCCAAGTCACGTTTGCTACAGAGGGTTCAAGCCTGAGAAGCCTGCACAGAGCTAGGGTAAGCCTGGAGGTCTGTGATTGGCCTGCGACTTGCCTGGCACCCACGTCGCCAGCGGGCCACATGCCTCCTCAGGAGAGACTCTCGGCGTTGCCAAACGGCTGTCCTTCCACGGACTCAGTCTGTTGGGCCTGTTGAGCTAGTACCGTCAGCACCATAGTTTGCACAAAACCTTTATTCAGACGGTGCCTTGCAGTTTACCAAGTTCTTTTACACACATTAATTCATTTAATCTTCAAGATCTACGAAGTATGAATTATTATATTTCTTTCACTGGTGTAGAAACCACAATTTAAAGGAGATTAAATAAATTCCCCATTTGGCAACCAAATAGAAAGTGATAGAGCTCATGTCCAAACTCACTTCTTAGAGGGAGAATCTTAGGTCTCTTTCCACCAGCCAGGTCTTCTTTTCTTCTGGTTCCTAGGGGACAATATACATCGCTGTACATTTAAGGCAACAAATCACTGAACCGCCAAGTCTGAAACTGCGACACAGACCTACCTTAAAATTAAGCTAAGGGAGAGTTACAGTCTGTGTGTTGTAACGAGCAATGGGTATTATAAGAGACTGATGAATCACAAGACCTGCTCCCCTGCAACAAATAATACATGACATGTTAATTTAAAAGAAAAATTACAATGCACACATTTATTATCAGAAATCTGATAGCAAGTTCCTTTTGTTTTCTAAACCTGAGTATCCCACTCTCTTTTCTTCTAAGACTTCCACTCAGATAAAATTTGAATGACATTTACTAAGTATATTAATTATCTGTATAACAAATTACCCCTAAATTTAGAAGCTTAAAGTAATAATCCATATCTCATAGGAGATCGTCACGATCCTACCAGGTGTTACAAATCCAGGAGCCACGTAGCTGGGTGTTGTTTCTCTTGAGGTTGCAGGGAAGTCGTTGGCTGGGCTGCAGTCACCTGGGGCCGGAAGATCCACTTTCAGGATCACTTGTGTCCCGGGCTATTGTGTGGACATCTTTGTTTCTTCCGCAGGTACCTTTCCATGGGCTGCACAGGTGTTCTCATGATATGGCAGCTGCCTTCCCCCACAAAGCAAGTGATAAAAAAAAGAAAAAGAAAAAAGAGAGATAGAGTTCCAGGTGGTAATGATAGTCTTTTACAACCTAATCGTAGAATGATATTGAAAATGCATTTAATACATCTAACCTACCAAATGGCTTAGCTTCGCCTAGTCTACCTTAAATGCTGTATTTCTCTGTATTCTATTCGCCACACAGACTATAATCCTGGTACAGTGTGGGGGAGACCGTAAGAGGGCGTGAGTACCAGGAGTGAGGAGACACTGGGGGCCCCTTGGGAGGCTGGCTCTCACACTGTGGAGCATACAGACATAGCAGCATGTTAATCTCCCTTTTGGTCCTCAGAGGCCAATCACAGTATCTGTGCATAAAGCAGAATTTTGTCCTGTTATTTCTTATGTCATCTCCATGAGATTAAGCTCAAAACAGATCCTAATATAGAATTAACAAGACATGAAGATTCCACCACTACCCTCAAAGAACAGAGAAAATATGCCATATAGCATAAATCAAGAGAGGGTCAATAATGACGCAAACTCAAAAAAGCAAATGGACTTCCAGTAATAATGGCAAAGTGCAGTATACTTGGGGAAGAACAGAAGTTTGCGACAGCAATGATTTGTTCTCAAAGTGGCTATCGATGAAGCCACTTGTCCAAAGGGCTGGAAGAAAGAGAAAAAGGTCAAGATAGACTTGACTTCCTGCTTGAATTTCTTCAGTGGCTTCCTATTTGGCAATAGGCCAACTCCTCAGCATGGTTTACAAAACCCCTTAGCATGGTCTGCCCCTCGGGAATGGCACTGCCAAGCACCACACTGCCTCAGAGCCCCCCTTTCCCAGCCCATCAGCAGGGTTCCAGCCTCCCTGCCTACTTACCGCCCCGGGGCACGACTGGCTGTGTCCCAGCTACACAGGCACACTTTTTCATTCATTCTAGCTCTTTCAAGGAACACCCTGCACATCGTTCGTCTGCAATCCTACCTACTCACCTTTACACATTCCATTCAAAGATCACTTTGGAAAGCATTTTCTGACTCTCCTCTTTGTGACTCCTTACCCCAGCCCTAATATCCTCACTGTAAATGCTTTTACACCTAGCATGGCACTCACTCTATTTAACTGATTCTAATATAGATGGCCCTTGATTTACAATAGTTCAATTTATGATTTTTCAACATTACAATGGTACAAAATGATATGCATTCCCTAGAAACTATACTTGCAATTTTGAATTCTGGTTTTTCTTCCAGGTTAGCAGTAGGTGGCATGATCCCCTCCTGTGAAACTAGGCAGTCACGATGAGCTGAAGCTTCCATTCAGCCACGCCATCATGGGGGTAAACAATCAATACACTTAACAACCATTCTGTGTCCATACAGCCATCCTGTTTTTCACTTTTGGTACAGCATTCAATAAACTATATGAGGTATTCGACACTATTATTACATAGGCTTTGTGTTGGGAGGTTTTTGCTCAACTGTAGGCTAATGTAAGTGTTCTGAGCATTTAAGGTAGACTAGGCTAAGCTAAACCATTTGGTAGGTTAAATGTATTAAATGCATTTTCAACTTATGGCATTTTCAATTTACAATGGGTTTATTGGGATATAACCCCATCATAAAGAAGATCTCTATGCACATTCCAATCTTACAGTGGAATAACAGAGTTTATTCTGACATCTTTTTTTTTTCCCCTTAGTGATGGGTAAAATAATAATGCACCTAAAAAAAATTGTTTCTTGAATTTGATGAAATTTATTTGCACTTCTTTTTATATTTATTCCTTCCCTGAGACTAAAAAGACCCTGAGGTCTGAGATCATTTCTTATTTATTTCATATCCCAATTGCCTGTCATAGTAGGTTCCGTAAGTGTTAAAGTACATAAATGAAGGACACAGATTCTTAAATATCTAATAAGTAAAACAAGCTTCACTGTTCTCTACCTTGTCCCAGGAAAGATGATCCTGATTAGCTATGGGATTGCATTCAAAAGGGTCAGTTTAAGGGTGCCTGGTGGCTCAGTGGGTTAAAGCCTCTGCCTTCAGCTCAGGTCATGATCCCAGGGTCCTGGGATCGAGCCCCATATCGGCTGTCTGCTCCGCAGGGAGCCTGCTTTCTCTTCTGTCTCTCTGCCTGCCTCACTGCCTACTTGTGATCTCTGTCTGTCAAATAAATAAATAAAGTCTTTAAAAAAAAAGGGGGGTCAGTTTAGGGTAAAGGAATAAAGATTTCCTAATCTGTTGACCCTGTGACATCATTTAAAACATTACAACTCCCTTCTTTTCCTGACACTTCCTGGAATTGATATTGAAAACCCCAATCTCTTGGCAGGACACCATGGCTTTCAATAAAGGACTTATAATGGTGTGTATACACCATTATAAGTGTATATATATATATGTATAGATAGATATATATATAATTGTAAGTATATATATTATATATACCATTATATATTATATATATCATTATATATCTATACACACACATACATACTTACAAATACAGTTGGTGAAATGTCTGATCAATGGAGTCAGACATGTTTGAACTGAAGTTCAGGTTTTAGTATTTATTAGTATGTGATCTTGTTGTTCACCACCAGGAACCACGGTTTTATCCTTTGTAAAACGGGGGTAATATAACTAATTACTCAGGGTAGTTGTGGGGATTAATTACATTAACAAATATAAAACATCTGATCCAGAGGTTGGTACAGGGAGGTAGACATTTAATTTTCAGACCATCTTTAGGTCCCCAGCACCTGGCACCTAACAAAAAAAATAATGAATGAGAATAATCCACACAGTCAGGCGAGCAACATGGACCAGAAACCTTTGCAAAATCATATTAATTAGGCACTGAGGCAATTGCCCAAATTAGTGATATTAAAACACAATGAACACCAGTTCCTGTAGAGGGCTCATTCTGCTTGAGCTTCCATTCATTTATCTTCATGTACAACTGAGTCATCTTAAATTCGGATCCGGTTTTACCTCTTGTCTTCTTCACCGAAACATGTTTCACCATGATAACACAGAACTTGTGACGATTAGACTGTGCATTTCCCCACATACCATCATTTTAGGGACTAGTCTGCTGTTTTTGCTTGTGTGACATTGTAATTCAGCTATGTGCTGGATAATAATCTTTAGCTTCCACTGACTCTGTCTGAGCAAAACTACCTTATTTCCTCTAAAGCTTACCCATAGGCTTTGCAACTTTCTTTTGAACTTTCTCCAGTCCCTAAATTGTTTGACTGTATTTCCCTTTCTCTTCTATCATACACTTCTCATGTTGAGAAGTCTTTGGGTAAGCCCGGAGTCCCTGTGCCAACTGGCAAAGACTAGGATAGGCATGGAAAGTGATCAGGCCTTTTAAAAAGAATTTACAACTGTGGGAGCAGGGCAGGTAGAGAGAAGAGATGATAAAGGAGGGAGCAAGGAACTGAGGAAGGGTTAAGCGAAATTAGAGAACAGAAGAGTGGAAAAAGCAATAATTGTAATGATTAGTTGCCAAAGACAAGGAGATTAATATGAAGAGAGAAGAGTTTTGGCTGGTTTCCATTTCAAAAGGATGAAACGGGGGTTGGGGGGGGTGGCAGATAGAGACCCACTTTACACAAAGATATTAAACTAAGAGCCTGACATAAAATGCTGAATCTTCCCCAGATAAATCCTGCCACGTTAGCTGGGAAGTAAATTCTAGGTATCAGTGCAGAAAGAGATTAAAAACCCCTTTTATCCTACAGTAATCTAGAAACATGATTCCAGAACAATAAAATAAACAACAAATACTCTTTTCAATCTTTTGGCTCCTTTTGCCCATTTCATAAACTCAGCTGCTCTGTTGGGGCTAACCCTTGCCCAGCAGTCTATGTGGTTGGATGGCTGCCTAGTCTAAGTGTTCAGATCAAGTCAATCTTTTCAACTCTTCTTATAAGCACAACTTTCAAAGATACTCTCTCTAAAAGCCAAGTGCTTTGATTAACAGGTTTAAGTGCTATAATCACCAGGCATTTGAATGCAGATTAACTCATAGGCCCAGATAATGAATCTTGTTCTGTCATGTTGTTTTTAGCCAAAAGTTGAAAGAGAAAGCTTTGAAGAATGCAGAGAAACTTGACTATGAAATTTTGATGGCCTTGGGGCAGAGAAACTTAACAGAAAGAAATAATCGTCATTCATTCAAAGAGTATTCATGGCCTTGGAAAGACTAATGCCAAAATTCTGTGATTAATTACAGTTATTGAAGAAGCTTTAAAAAAAAAAAAGGCACCATGAGTTTTTAGGTTAATCAAAGACAGAGCAATTGAAATAAACTCTCCTAGTGTCAACAGTGAGTTCTTGGTCAAATGTTCATGAGCCTCATTGTTATTTTGAATCATAGGACTTCAACTTCATCTCCCAACAGATTTCACTTTCATCCTGAAAGAAAATGGCTGACTGAACGTTATTGATTTGATAGAAAAGTGTCGAGGATTTTGCTTCCTAAAAGTGATTAATGAAATCCGAATAGTGATATTCAGGTTTTCTTGCCTGAGAAACACCATTTCACTGTGTCCTCCTAAAAATGTAAGGACTAAATATTGTGACTAGTAATTTTTCTAGAGGAGAAAATTTCAAGAACGGGGATAAAATAATTGAAAGGAAGGACCACCTAACATACCAATAGACCATCTCTGCTTCGGTAACCCAGACAAAGTTGGTCTGTGATGGATTTGCCTGCCAGAGACCATACCACGAGCCCTGCCAGAGGCAAGGGGTACCAGGCTAATGTTTCTCAGAGCAGAAGGAGATATCTAGGTTTAAAAGGAACTGCAACTTCTCTTCTTTACATTTACAGGTCGCCTTTTGTTGTAGTCAGGACTAATATTTCATGAATAGAAAAATCAATCCCTTATTACTAGGCTTCAAGAGGGAACTTGCATTAAATAGTTGTTGTGGCCACGGCTTCCTCTGTGGGGCATGGGGAGAAAAAATACGCCTTACGCCTGAGATTCCTTCAAGTTCTGAGTTAGTTGAAAGTCAGCTCTTTAGAACGTCAACTACTAAGTTTGAACTTGCTACCATTCTTAAATCATCTGTTTCTAACAGATTACCTGTAACATACAAAGGAATTAAAACAGTGAACTTTACACACTTGCAACCAATAGAGGTTCCAGATTTCCTATTACTTAAGAAATGGAAATACCTCTGCTGCATTTCAATTACTTTTCTAGCAACGTAGCTAAAATGATTTGTATGTTATCCTAATTCTCACTTTTCCGAATAATCAAAATGAAGGAAATATATGTGTGTATAGAGAGATAATTTGTGAAGCTCTAAAAGGCTGACACAGTGGAAGAGACATGCAGTTTCCATTCTAGTAAAACAAACCATATGACTAATTAAACATGTGTGTTTCCTATTGCTCTCTTCACTAATTGCTGAAAATATATGCTATTTAACTAATCAGCAATAAGTTTGGGGTCACTCTCATCTGACATCTTCTATACTACATCTCTTTCTCACCTTTTAATGAGACTTACTCATAATGTTAAGCTTATATTTGTAGACTCGAGCTTATACTTTTTAGACTTATAAGGCCATTAAACAAATTTTTAAAAAAGTTTTCTATGAGAACATTCAATGTTGTAAAGTGGTCCCGTAAATATACTATTTTTTTCTTTGCTACATCAGAACAAGATAGAAAAATTCAAGGTTATATTCTATTCCTGGAAGAACTGTATGTAAAATTAGAAGGGATTCTCTCTCACTACATACTGAGTTGCCACACTGTCAAGCCAAGCCCTTCTCGCCCTTCTAATTACTTCTTCATTCTCTCCTCCTTCAAAAGTTCTCCTCCCAAAATTGCCCATCTTTTCAGAAACTGTAACTCTCCTCCTAAGAAAAGAAACATGAATATGGGCAAAAGGCTGACCTACATCTGCTTAATCTAGCCCTCTTAGAATAGAAATTTCTGACAAAAGCAGGAAATTATTTCTACATTCTGTATAGTCACAAATACAATTTGGCACAGAGTGAACATTCAATGAATAAATTAGCAAGTTCAGTCGTTATCAACCAAATGTTGAATCTGAACCTTGGCATATTGATTTAGAACAAATACAAAAATGAAAGAAGGATACTTGGGCCAAATTTCATTCAACCCCATTTTTTTAGTACAGCAATATAATGATTTGACAAAAGAAAAACGTTGCTTTCAAAAATAGATGGAAATTTTACATGAAGACTTAGCATGAGCTTAAGGTATACAAATATAAACCCTAGGTTTGCTTTTGTTGAGATTATAAAGGCCAAATAGCGTGTGTATCTGCTCCCCTCTTCCTGTTTTAAAAGTAATAATAACTTTATTATAAGGTCTGGTTTGGCTGTAGGCAGAATTGAACACTTGGAGCAAAGGAAAGTGATGTGTTGGCTCCCATCACTTTCCTGTAACTCATGAATATTAACTTCTTCCAAAAGATCATCACCCTTGGGAATTTCAGTCCTTCTTTTCCAAATCTATTGTTAACATGTATTGTTTTGCCTCTCATTAAAGGAAGGCAACTGAGACTATTCAAATAAACTCAGGGTTTAAAAAAAAAAAAAAGATGGCAAAAAACCCACTTTACACAAGTAAAGAAAAAAAAATTTACAAGTTTTTTCAATGCCACTGCATGTGTGCAAGCTTCAACTAAAACAAAACTACTCTTAAATCCAGTATTAATGACATTATTTTGACAGAGTCCAGTAATTGCTTCTAGTGTGTTTCATCCTCTTCTTAAAAGACCTCCTCATTTAAGCAACTCATATTTGTCTCTGCTAACATCACAGTGTGTACACGCTAGAAACCAATTCCTTTGGCCCGGTATAAAAACCAGTGGTTTCTCCACACCTGAAGCTGGACATTATCTAAGACATCAGGTCATCATCAAAGAGGACCTGAAGGCCCCTGTGCAACTTGTATATTAATGTTGCTCTCCTGGCAAGCAGACAACTTCATCAAAGAAGTCAGCCAAGGAGGGTCTTTAAATGGAAGTTCTGCATATGAGAGCAAATGCATTAAAAAGTTGCTGACGGGCATGAAATGCTTTGATGTGAAGATGGAAAACTCCAAAGCAGGAAGGATTTGGGGCATTTTGAGTCTGATTGACTCTGTGGTTTCTCTGAGCAGTTATTCCACAGGCTAAAATAAATGCAGAAATGGTATTTTGAGACCACAGCTGAAAGGGAAGCACAGTGAATTTCAATAAAAATCCAGTTGAATCTTTAAGTTCACATCTTAAAACAGCGAGGGATATGAGAAAAGTAATATTGTTTCCTGAAATTTCACTGTTTTTGTTTAAGAAGTTAAAAAAAAAAAAAGGAGAAAACCCCATTTATTCATTTTTATTTTTAGGAAAAATGTTGAGTCCCTATTGCCTAGAACCATATGGTAGATGCTCTAAAGTCCCCCCACCCCTCCCCCTGCTGCAAAGAAGATCTTATTTCTTTTATAATTAAAATGCTGGAAAGAGGCATTTTAATAAGTAATCTGATAGAGGTAAAGTTCAAAGAGGGGTAAGCACATATATTATTATCTTCTCAAATTGTTCCTTCCAGTGGTCAGATAGCAAATCAGTTTCATAGAAAGCTTGTTTCAGTGGGCAATGATTTTATGCCATTATGGTAGTTATTTACAGATCCTCCTTGATTTATGATGGGGTTACATTCTGACAGACCCATCATAATCTGAAAATATCTTAGGTCGAAAATGCATTTAATACACATAACATATTGAACGTCATAGCTTGACATAAGCATACTTTAAATGTGCTTAGAACATTTAGCCTACAATTAGACAAAACCTCACATAAAGCCTACAATAAAGTGTTGAATGCCTCATATAATTTATTGGATACTATACTGAAAGTGAAAAACAGAATGGTTGTAAGTGTAGGTTTGTTCACCCTTGTGATCATATGGCTGACCGGGAGCTGGGGCTGCCCAGCATCATGGCATAGGACAATATATCCCACCACCAGCCCGGGAAATCCAAAATCAATCGTATGATTTCGGCTGAATGCGTATCACTTCCACAACATCATAAAGTTGAAAAATTATAAGTGGAGGACCAACTGTACTTTTACCATCAGATGCATCAAAAAGAACAAAAATTAAGAAAACTCAAGCAGAACTCTAAACTTAAATAGTATTTTCTACAAAGAGTAATGGTAGGATATACTGAGGTTATATGAAATTAGATATGTAATGAGACCTCAAAAATGTAACATGATTAATTATGCAAATATTCATTTTTTAAATAGAGTCTTAAGGCTTGGAACTAAATGGAAAAATAAATAGAAGAGCATAGTTAAGAACGTGGCCTTCTGAATCTGAGTACCTCAGTTTTGAACTCTGGCTCCAAAGAAGTTACAGATGGAGGACTTTGGACAAGATACTTGAGTGTTCTGTGCCTTAGTTTTCCAAGCTGTAAAATGGAGATTTTAATAGAACTTTCTTCATAAGCTTAGTATGAGGATTAAATTACTGAATATATGTACAGTTCTTGGAATAGAACCTGGCACCTAGTAAGTTCTCAGTAAATGCTGGGTTTCATTAGTGGTGGTGTGGGATACTAACACAAACAAACAGCCCAGCAAACTCCTAATCAGGCATCTGGTTCTGTGTCTGCAACTAGTTAAATTCCCCAGACCTCATTGAAGCCATCTATAAAACGAAAGGGTTGGGCTAGGTCATCTCTAAAGTTCCAAATTTAAAAACATATTACTTTAAAACACAATTGTTTGGAAGTATGCTATATGTTCTGCCAAGTTTTTAAGGTGGAAGGTGATACTATTTTAACACACCATGTTCTAAAGCACTTACTTACACAAAGATGTAGTTCTTGGATTCTACTTCCTCATCTTGTATTTTCTCTTTGACCAAAGACTATGGAAATTCATTTGTTGCTTCTTCTGGGAAAAAGGCTCTTGCCAAGCTCTTGCCAAGGTCACAATGATTTTCACATTGCTAAAACCAATGGTCACTTCTTGACCTCGTACTCACAGATGATTTTCCCCCTTTCTCCATTCACCAGCCAAATTGCCTTTTTAATAGATAAACAGGTTCTTTCATTTCCCTGCATAAAATCCTGAAATGGTTTTCCACATTTATAACACATTAAAAATCTCCTTGAGTTCTGTCATCCATCATGATCTAGACACATCCAACCTTATTTTCTACTTTACTCTCCTTGCTCATCGACTTCTCTCCAACCACACTACCTCAGTTCTGAACTTTGAACACCCTGCATTTATCTCAGACTAGATGGTGTTATCAGAGGCACCAGCTTGGAATTCTTTATCCACAGATCATGGCTGGCTCCTTAGAGAGACCTCCCTGATTAATCAGTACCCTAGATCCCTTAGTCTACATTTTCCTATCTCATATTTTTTAATGAAACTGAAATTTTCAGTTATTATCTGAAATTATATTTATTTTTACTATGTAAAAAGAAAGCAAACTCCATGAAAACAGGCACATTATCCAGCTGAATGCCAAGATCAGAAAAAGTTCTCAATAAATATTCATTGAATGAAAGATAATGCATTTTCTCTTACATCATGACCAAAGTGTTCCCTGCCTTCCTTCATCACCCTTCATATCAGTTCCACTTATTTGATATCTGTCACAAATTATTCTGTATTTACCCCAAAGATACATATGTAGTGAAAAGAAGGGCCATATGTACCCCAATGTTCATAGCAGCAATGGCCACAGTCACCAAATCAAGATACCCTTCAATGGACGAATGGATAAAGAAGATATGGTCCATACATACAACAGAGTATTATGCCATCAGAAAGGATGAATACCCAACTTCTGTATCAACATGGACAGGACTGGAGGAGATTATGCTGAGTGAAATAAGTCAAGCAGAGAGAGTCAATTATCATACAGTTTCGCTTATTTGTGGAGCATAAGGAATAACATGGAGGACATGGGGAAATGGAGAGGAGAAGGGAGTTGGGGGAAATTGGAGGGGAAGATGAACCATGAGATACTGTGGACTCTGAGAAACAATCTGAGAGTTTTGGAGGGGAGTGGAGTGGGAGGTTGTGTGAGCCTGGTGGTGGGTATTATGGAGGGCACGTATTGCATGGAGCACTGGATATAGTGCATAAACAATGAATTCTGGAACACTGAAAAGAAATTTAAAATAAATAAATAAATAATTTAAAAAATTATTCTGTGTTCTGGATTTTTCTTCTGCGTGCATGTTCTAGTTCTCCAATTATAAAGTGACTTGTGGGATGAAATTGTGTCACACATTGAGTCTCTCAGAAACTAGTGGGCCTTTTTCACAGTATCTCACCCAATATTTTTTAACATATTAATTTTAAAGGAAGACAAACTGACTGTTAATTTATAAAAACTAAGTTACCTATAGCCAAAAGGAGAAAAACAATACAGAACAAAAAAAGTGCTTAAATATTTATAAAAACTCTCTATCCAAAAGTTTGTCCAAAACCGACGCATTGTCCTAGGCAGTAGGAAGCAGTGAGAGATGAACTTCAGTTTTGTTAATGGACAATCCAAATTATTTTGGTTCTTTGAAAAACTGATTTGTTACCCATGTTAAGAACAATCGATCTACATTCTAAATATTAAACAATGTAATCTAAGGAAAATCTAATCTCAGTTGAATGGATTTTACTTTACATTTTACAAATCTTACGGTAGCTGGTACCTAGAAGCAGAATCTTCATTGTCTTCATTAATAATCGGAGTCATATTTCTAAATAACAACTATTATTTTGTCTCTTCTGAGTCTGACATTCTGTGTTGATTCCTCACCACCATACTCAGCAGTTCAAACTTCTTAGCACATCTTCTTAAGACTTTGCAGGAGTGAGCCTCTATTTACAACTCAGTCTCACTTCTTACCATTCCCTTGCCCCTCTTCAGAGCTCTTTTGTTCAACCCCCCAACAAACACAGAGTTAGCTCTAGACAATAAAAAATGCACATCTCCTAGGGAACTCCACTACTTCCTCCTCTACACTATTTTCTCTGGCAGAAACACTCTGACCTCTTACCCTCTCCTTAGTTGTTTCACTCCCACTCATATGCTGGGGAGCACCCCTTCCAGCATGCCTTCCCTGATCTTGTCTACCTCCTACCCAGATGACAGTAGGCTCTTCGTATGATCTCATAATGTCTTGTGTTGACCGCCATAGAGTGCACATCTCACACTACGAAATGGTCTCTTTTTACCAGGCTGTCTCCTGTAGTCAAGGACAAGGTCTCCCCAACTATATCCTCAATAACTTACATATAGCAGGTGCTTAAGAAGTAGTCTTAAAGAAGTGAATAAATAGATGGATGAGATATTGTCATCAACATGGCTTATTAAAATGAAGATGAAATAATTACTTTCAGGGACATCTTGGTGGCTCAGTTAGTTAAGCGGCTATCTTCGGCTCAGGTCATGATCCCAGGGTCCTGGGATCAATTCCCACATCAGGCTCCCTGCTCTATGGAGCACCTACTTCTCTTTCTGTCTGCCTCTCTCCTGCTTGTGCACACACTCTCTCTCTCTCTCTGTCTGACAAATAAAATAAATAAAAATCTTTAAAAAAAATAATTACTTTCAGATGTAATTTACTTGTATGGAAAAAAGAATCACAGTGTGACTAGAAATTTTACAATCAAAATCAGCAATTCACTATCTTTGGAGTAAGAATAGTCACAGTTCTTTGCTCAAAACTACCTTCTTCAAAATGATTAAATTATTCCAACACAATCTTTTAAACAAATACCTTTATAAACATATCACAAAGATGCCCATGATTACCAAATAAACATTGATATTTCTCTCATTTAACCAGCTTACTTTTATAGACCTTTAATAAGTAATAAGAGAAAAAAAATATGGTTAGGAGATATAGTCAAAAACTCTTTTTAGGTCTCATTTGAAGGCAGGATTATAGGCAAATATTACCTAAAAACATCTTTGAAAAAACTTCTACAGTTTTTTCTCAAATTTTAAATGCATGTTGTGTCCTTCTCTAAGGGCAAAATATTTGGGAGTGTTTCAAAGAAACTATATCTGATATGTTCACCTTACTGTTAACCATATTTTGAGTATTTTAAAGAATAAATGCCTTTGGGGTGCCTGGGTGGCTCATGGGTTAAGCCTCTGCCTTCGGCTCAGGTCATGATCTCAGGGTTCTGGGATTGAGCCCCACATCGGGCTCTCTGCTCAGCGGGGAGCCTGCTTCCTCCTCTCTCTCTGCCTACCTCTGCCTACTTGTGATCTTGATCTCTCTCTCTCGTCAGGTAAATAAATAAAATATTTAAATATCTAAAAAAAAAAAAGAATAAATGCCTTTAAAGGTAGAAATAATTGTGTTATTTTTTTCTGGTTTTATTGAGATATAAGTGACATATAACACTGTATTAGTTTCAGGAGTACAATGATTTATGTATAAGAAATGATTACCACAAGTTTAGTTAACATCTAGCACTAAACCATTAATGTAATCAATTATTATTTTAATTAATGACCCATTAATAATGTAATCAATTGTTAAAATACTTGCCTTATTTTAAATGGAATTACTTCAGGGGAGATAATATACAGTTACCCCAATTCTTGAGTCACATTAATGCAGCTCTTTGTGGTTGGGTTGTCATTGTCAATAAGCCTGAGATCTTTGGGCCTGTCTAGCTGACAGGGTGCACACAAGAGAAAAAACAAAGACCCCCAGGTAAAGGAAAAATGAAAATCAGAATGAAACAGAAAACATCTAAGGGTAAAGATGTAAAGATAAAGTCTTTCTGAGTAGACTTGTCGATTAGACTTTATCTAAAGCAATAGTTTTTGGCACAAGGGCAATCACCTACCACCACCACCACCACTCCATAATAATTTTCCCTCCCTTTCCTTGACTGAGTTCTTGTTTACCTCGGTTAGGAGAAGTCTACGCAATTGAGGGTCTACAGTTCTACCATGAGCTCTCCTCTTGGAAAAAGCTGGTCATGTGAAGGAAAGAGAGTTTCTCTCCATTCTCCACAGATGGAGAGAAGCCCTGGAGAGTCCATGGACCTGAGGGACCAACAGCAGCAGACTGGGGAGGGTGCAGAGAGAGGTGAGGCTGATCCAGAGAGAGGAAGCCAGCTCTACAGCAACGAGGAACACAGGCAGAGGCATGCTGAGTGCAGGGCAGACCAGGGCTAAGGACCTAGACTTACCTCTTCCCCCTCCACTCCTCCGGTGCACACACACCAGACCCCTGGGGAGAGAGATCCAGAAAAGTGAACTTTCTCCTAATCAAGGGTATATAGCCCAGACATTGACATACTGGATACTGTTCTAAATTTATCTCAATATTTGGGAGCATTTCATATGTCCTGCAGGAGGCAGGGCCCCTCTCCTCCTGTGACTCTGCTGTATCCCACCTTTCTCTTTCACCTGTGCCCTAACTCCCTCTCTCTCTCCTTCCAGTGGGTGCTCTTTGGGCAACTAACTCCATTTTCTGATTGCCCTGAAGCAAATTCCTAGTTGCTGTCCAAGGTAAAAACACAGCTTTCAGTCAAAATTTGGACTCCTTATGGTTTTGAGTTTACAGGTTATGTGATAATGAATCAAAAGAAAAATATTTATCTGATCACTAATGATAATTTTGTTATAAATATAAATATATGACACAATGACTATTTTTGTTAGAAGTTACATTCACATAGTTCTTACTAAATTTAAATATAAGAAGAATTTCTAGTTTATCCAATAAAGCATAAATAACACATAGGCAATGATATAGAGAACAGAAAATATTAATCACATTTAAATAATTATTAACCTAATTTCTGGGTTTAAAGTCACTAAACAAGTGTTAAAAACAAGACAACACTCCCAAAATGGAGTTGTTTATGCTAAGCTCCATATCAGGAAACTGAGGCTTACATTAACTAGTTTCAACCCTCCCAGAAATGGAGTCTTAAACCAATCAGCAATCTCCTGATCAGCATTAGTCAGGTAATCTCCCTGACATACCCCTGCCATCCCCTATAAAGAAAGCAACCTTGCAACAGTAAATCTGCTTTTCTATACAGCTTTTAAAAACTCTACCAAAGGAAGTGATATTTTAGGAAGTATCTGAGTAGAGAATGCTTTTCAAATCAGAAGACCAAAGACAGACATGAAGGAAAAAAATTGTTCTCGGCACAGATGAAACCTGAGAAAAGTATCTGAAGTTGGAGTTAGAATTACCAGGCAAAAAAATCATAAATGCACTTACCTAAGGCAAGTGCACTTTGAAGGAGTAAAGGCATTAAGTAGTTCTGTTGGTTAAAACATTCCAAAACCCCTTATATCCTTAATAGGCTATTTCCATTCCTTTTAGGTTTAGCATAGCATTGAAAAAATGGAATGTAAGGCGACATTTGAAT